CGGTCAAATATCTAGCAGGCAGGCAGCTAACAGCCCAGAACCGGTCCTGAATGGAATTGGATGCGGTATACGTGTAGCATCCACCCAAGCTTCCACCAGCTAAACTGGGTTGGTGCTCTGTAAAGCGCATGCGTAAATCTGGCTTTTTGGATGCTGACAATACAGAGCTTTCACTCCACCACTAATATTTGAATATACAATAGCAATCTTATCTTTTTTTCACATGTAGTATAGAAATTAATAAGATACATAATGCAGTTATAATAAAATATTGTGTGATTATTTTCATATAATTAAAATTAATATGTATTTATTTTTTAGAAAATAGAAATTAATAGCAACGGCATGCCACTGCTATTAACTTATAAATAAAATGTGCAAATCTGTTCTGTACCACTGAATGCCTTACATCAGATTTTAAATTTTAAAATTTTATAACAAAAATTTTGTTATAAAAAATTTGATAATGGTTTGAAAAAAATTGATAATGGTAATTATAGTTATTTCTCATTAAATTTTATTAGGACTTTTTATCCATTACATTTTTATAAAATTTATTGATTTTATAATTAACTTTATTAGTTTTTTTTGTGATGTGATGCAGGATATAACTTGCATTAATATCCAGCTGTTAACTCAGAGATAGTAAATCTAATCAGAAACTAGCTTTGTTTATTTTAAAATTAATTTTAAAAATCAGATTAAAACAGGTTTTAAGTAAGATTTATCACAGTGATAACAAAATAAGACCTGAACATTAAAATTTCTTTTACTATATTTTTACAACATACATTTAAAATTTTTTTTATGTATTCTAAACTTGTTCCAAAAAAATAAAATTAATAATCAGGTAAAAAACCTTGAAAAATTTTAAAATTTTCATTATCTATAATATTATATCTAAAAATAGGAATACAGTATATAAATGCATAAAAATAAAGTTTTATGGTTTGCATTTATTTATAATTATACAGTAATTCATTGTTACAAAATTGGAGATACTGCATTGCCTTTATATATAAATTATTTCCAATTCCTCAATAAATTTAAAAATACTTCTCTAAATCCTCAAATGTAAACAATTTTACTTATTAAGCAAAATGTGTTTGACATTTCTTGATATTATTTCTTGTATTTAATTAATAAAAGTTTTATTTAACACTCAGAAAACATATTGCTTAAAGTTGTTATTCAATGTCCAATATACATTTTAAATATTACATATAACATTAAATAAACTGAAGGTTTTATAAGTTTGGCATATATTTAATTGAGATTGTAATTCAGCTACAAACATTTTTAAAACTGAAATTATATTTGAGTCAGTTCTCAGTAATCATAAGATGACAAATCAGAATTTTTAACAAGAGAATTTTATTTTTAGTTTTGTTTCATTTGTAATTTTTAAATATATTATTCCTATCGTAAATATTATTAAGATTGAAGATTAGAATTGATATGATAATTGTTGTTATGAATTTATCATCATGAAATAATCATTCATTCTAAATTTTAAATTGCAAAGTTCTTTTAATTCTAATGAGAAATTAAAAGATTAATTTCTATTAATAGTAGTATTTGATTTAAAAATAGAAAAATTTAGTACTGTAGTATTAATTAATTCAACTACTCAAAACTGGGTAAACTGCACAAATATCCAAGATCCAGCAAGAAAAACTAAAAGAAAGCAAACATTTTCATACATTTAATGGGCATTGTCAGATCTGATGATATCTGTTAAACATAGATGAAAATGCTTTCTTGTAGCTTCTCGCTGGATCTTGGTTATTTGTGCAGTGTATTAGCAGTATTAATTAAGTAATTAATTTCAAAAAGTAAGGTAATTCTCCTTTATTACTTAGTTTTTTTTTATTTAAAGAAAACTAAATAGTAAATTTTTTAATATTTAATTTAATTTTTCTGCTTCATTTTTAATTGCTATCATGACTAAATAAAGAATTTTTGAATAAGTGCATAATAATTATGATATAGCAATTACAAATAATCAAAAATAACATTTATAATTTTCATAAACATACAAGCAAAGATTCATTGCAAAAGTCTTACTTACCAATAGTGTAAATATTTTCCAGAAGAAGCATTTAAGTATCCTGAATAATGATGGAAATTTAATTTGTAAGTGAGACCAGGCAGATTAAGAACTTCATCTGGATTTGTGGCCGCAGTAATTAAATTTATGGAAATAAATATAACTGCACTTATGAATAAAAACATGTTTGTGACCTAAAAGTATAAAAATAAAAATTATTATTTTTAAAATGTCTTCTAAATTATTTATTAAAATAAAAAAATAGGAAATCAACAAAAAGACATTGTTACACAAAGAAATATTTATAGAAAAATATTTTTTGTATAAATATTTCTTTATTCTCATAATTTTAAATAAATTAATAAAAAAAAAAAACATGACAAACTTAGGCATATACAAATATTTTTATGTCCACAGCAAATGTGGGCAAATTTTCACTTTTCTGAAAAAAAAGGCTAAAATTTCAAAAATTAACATATAAATATAAAAATTTAGCCAAAACTTTCCAAGATTTACTGCAAAATAGGCTTGAAAGAAAACATTTTTGGGCATGGGACAATGAAAAAAATCTGGCCGCCCTGAGTCTTACTTATAAATATGTACCAGTGTTGTATTTCTTAATAGTTGTAATATATGCAATGTACAGTAATTTCAACTTGTAATGTACAGTACAAAATATACAATAAACAGATTCTTTGAAACTGACTGATGTGACTCATGGATTATTTTAGTTGACTCACATTTACAAACCTAGCGTGTCTGTGAATCACAAACTTTTATACTAGCATATGCTCTGCTATTGCTCTGGAGAAACTGGAACAAAATCTGGGCAATCAGTTTCAAATAATTTTTACAAGGTTGGCATCTCCTGAATATGTCAGAGTTGGACCGTCATCACCCAGCATTGTGAATCTGGGCAAACCCACAATGGACCTGACAAAAAGGCACAAATTTTTCCCTCACTCTTTCTGTCCTGACAATTATTACTTCAAATTATTTATATCTATATTAGGATAAGGACACTTTTTACTTTCATGGCAGTTATATATAACAGAGGGAAAGTATGGCGATCCGGCAAAATGACCCCCAGGTGAAGATTATTACATTTTTGTATTTAGGACCGACCTTGAAACGTCAANTGCTGTTTGTAGGCATTTAGGAATGACGGTGAAAGAAAGATGGCAGCACCCGCACTATCGATAGTATCATGATGGAGTAATCTATAATTCTAAAATGAGCTTTTAGAGGCAAAAGAAGAGTCCCAATTGTAAAATTTATCCATTAAATGGATTATTTGTTGAAAGAGCATTCAAAGTAGTCATGAAAACAATTAGAATGCTTGCGTGGAGTTATGCGGTGGTATAAAAGAATGCACCCTTTATTACATTTCATGTTGTATGAGGGTTTTACCCAATTCCTGAACCGTGTTAGAGTGAACCCGTGCTATAGAAGTGCCGTGTTATACAGGAGTTACCTGTATGTATGTTATACAGTATATACAAAATATGTTTGTTATTAAAATATATATACAAATATATATTTTTTAATATTGTTCTTTTACCATCAAAATTAAATCTAAAAGTAAGTTTTAAAATAACACCTGTGAAAGAAAATACTTGTTTTATCTTCTATGCATTTGGAGCTAGAACTACAGTGTACCTGAAGAAGGCTTATTAAGAAGGCTGAAAACGTTTGTACTCATGTATATATGGCTAGAAACAAGTGAGAAAGCTTTTGTCTTGGTTACTTGTTTTATGTATCATATTTTAAAAAATTCCAGCAATTATATTTCTTTCATTAAAAAAGGCAACTTATCTACTTAAAAATAAAATAACAAATTTGATACTTTATTTCATTTGGAATGAAGAGACATTTAAGTACAGATGGGAAAATACTATCCACAAATACTCGAAATTATTCAAGATTTGAAATCTCAAATATTATGTTGATAGAAAATAAATTTGAATCTACTCAAATTCTCCAAAATTAAGCAATACTTATAGTCACAGTAATGAATCCAGAAGTACCAGAAGTTTAATTAATTATTCAAAAATTTTAAAATATTTGAAGTATCTTCTGTATAATTAGATATCTTCTTTATGAATCTATCATACAAGGTAAACTACTTTTTTAAAAGAGTCATTTTTATTGTTTTCAAAAATTTTTATTTAAGAAAACAAGAACTCAAAAACATTCAGGATCTACTCTGCTTCTTTTCTTGTCACAAATTAAACCAGAGGTGCTCTCTATATTAGTGGCAGATCCAAAGCTAATACAACAAAAGTATCTTTTTATTAACATGTGCACAATGACTATATTACAATGATCCAATAAACAGTATATTTGCCATCATAAAATGTTTTAGAAACAATATTTTGAAGTTCAAACAAATAATTATAAATTGTTTTTGTGTAAATAGTATCTCTTTGTATCTGCCACTGCTACAGAAAGCACCTCTGGTTTAATTTGTGTCAAGAAAAGAAGCAGAATAGATCCTGAATGTTTTTGAATCCTTGTTTTCTTAAATAAAAATCTGCAGGTGAGAATGAGAACAATTATTTGTTAATCTATTGTACTTCAGGTTAAGAATACCTAAAAAATGCTACTTTAAATTCAAAGTCAAAATTAAAAGTTTAGTTATATTTCTTAAAATTTAGTAAACTGTTTTCCTTTTTATTTTTTGTTTTCTTAATTAATTTATTTAATACATTGAAATAAATAAAAGAAGTTAATTATTTATTATTTGACTAAATCAATTATATATAAAGTAATTAAGTTTACTAAGTATTGGAGTATTTGAGATACTAGAATATTCAAATTTGAGAAAAGTGATATTTGTCCATCTCTAAAATAAAAACTTAAATTCATTTTTGATTCAACAGTTAATTGTCATTTTAAAAACTATTTTCTTATCAAACTTCTATAAAAAAATTTAATTAATTAATTTTACCTTATTCCAGCTATAAACATTTTCATACAATGTTTTTCCATCTGGGTTAACATGAAATGGTCCATTTTCACTTAACAAACCATCCAAAGAACTACATCCTGGTCCACCATTCAACCAGAGAACCAATGGATCTTCTGAAGGGTTTTTCTGACTTTCCACAAACCTTGGTTTAAGAATATTAATGATTTTTATTTTATAAATAATGTTAAAAAATGTCATTAAGTCATCTTACAGAAAGAAAACAATTTTCTTTCTTAAATATAATTTGTCTCATAATTCATGTAAATTATAGTTATATCATTACAGTTTAGTATTAACAATAAGTATAAATGCATTTAAACATTAATTAGCCTACTGTGCAATATACAGTGTGATTCAAAAGTGTGTGTAGCTTTATACTTCAAAAACTAAATATGTACAAATGTTAAAACTAAGGCTCTTGAATATTTACTAAAAACCTTTTTAAAGTTTAGCTCTACATTAATAAAATTATCACAACTTATTTCATTTTATTTACAGATTCCATTAGTCATCCCAAATTGTGGAAGTTGAAAAGACAGCATGTTTTGGCTTGAAGAATTAAAGTCAATGATAGCCATTAGAAGTATGCTTTTCATTACATACATATGTCACACATGGTAAAACATCTTACTGCATACTTTTGTTTGTCTTTAGTTCTTGAAGTATAAAACTGCACACAGATTAAAAGAACTTTGTATATTTGATTAATTAAAAATAATTCTTTTTGTTCATAGAATAATATCAAAAACTTCAAAATTGTTTTAATAGTTTTCTATTAACCAGTGGCGTGCTGTGACATTTGATGATAGGGAAGCTGTGCTTCTGTAACAAGCCGACATCCAGGGGTAATCAGTCAACTGTGCGTCAGTGATGGTCTAGGGTCCATTTGTATCATTTATTCAATAAGCCAGTAAAAGCTGTAGATTACTCTAAATGCATTTTTAATATCACAATTACATTCCGAATCGCTAGCCATGATATAAGGGCTACAATTAAAAATAAAATAATAATACCTTAATAGATAAATAAATAAAGAACTTACTGGATAATGTATAACACCTTATTAATCCCAGCAATATTTAATAAGAATAATAACGTTTTCGACTGTTTTAAACAGCCTTCATCAGAAATAGTTTAACTGATGAAGGCTGTTTAAAACAGTCAAAAACGTTATTATTCTTATTAAATATTGCTGGGATTAATAAGGTGTTGTGTTTGTTAATAATAACTTACTTAGTGAAATAAAATGTGTGGTGGATGTACCGGTACTGTACCAGTACATACCTGGTACAAAATATTATTCAATTGTATGAATATACTTTTAAAGAAAATTATAGTTAAATATAGATTTGTAAAGAAACGTACATAAAAATATAAAATATTCTTTACTTTTTAAATTTTAAAACAATGCACTTAGTCAAATAGCTCCCTCCGAGTGGCTAATGGATGGAATCGAAGACAGTTGTAGAGCGTGCATACACGTGGACTTCCAAATCCCCAGGGTGCCGATACCGGTCAATGTCAAATACCTCTTTTGTCACATCACTAGTATATCTCAAAGGACATGGCAGGGCTGTTGTAGATTTTAAACGTTTCTCACCATAGCTGTAAAAATCTAAATATGTTAAACTTAATAGTCATTTGTTTTCTAACTAATTCGTTTTAGGACCAAGTGTCCTCAGAAATTTCCAAAATTTACAACTTTTCAGTCATTCTCATTTAACTGGAAAAATTTCTGTCTTTATTACATTAATAATACGAAGAAATTAGTCCCCACTGTACTCGGCTAGAGATGGCTCAGTTAAGCCAGTGTTTCTCAACCTCTAACGAATTGTCGCCCCCTTCAATAAAACCGTTACCTATTATTGTCCCCTTCACTTCAAAATTCCGATGCCGAGGACCAAGACTAACGCCAAATTCGTACTGCATTGAATAGACTAGTGACTAGTTTAATGTTATTTGTTTAATTATTGTACAATATAACGATTAAAATATCTAATTATTCTTAATGTAATGTTTTACTAAATTGCCCAAAAAATTGTTTTTAGCCCCCAAAATATAAATTGTTACTAATCGCCCCCTCAACATGGAAAAACGCCCACATGGGGGCGATATCGCCCCCGTTGAGAAACACTGGTTTACAGTCTGCCGAGTAAATTTCATTCTCACGAAGTGACAGTTTTTTACGCTAGTTCATGTTTTTTAATTTTTTACAATAATTTCCAAAGCGTTACAGTATGACACACGGAGCCATCATCAACATGGCTTTACTCCTGGGAAGTCCACCACTACAGCTCTCACCAAGATCACAGAGTACATCACCCAGGCAAAAGCTGAAAGGAAGCACACTCTGTTAATCTCGATCGACTTCCGTGGAGCCTTCGACAACCTCTGGTGGCCCACAATCCTGCAACAGCTCCAGGTTCACCACTGTCCTCGAAACTTATTCCATCTGATCAAAAGCTTTATCAACGACAGGAAGGCTGGCCTTTTTGTGAACAACATTAGTCANTATTTTTTAGAAAATAGAAATTAATAGCAACGGCATGCCACTGCTATTAACTTATAAATAAAATGTGCAAATCTGTTCTGTACCACTGAATGCCTTACATCAGATTTTAAATTTTAAAATTTTATAACAAAAATTTTGTTATAAAAAATTTGATAATGGTTTGAAAAAAATTGATAATGGTAATTATAGTTATTTCTCATTAAATTTTATTAGGACTTTTTATCCATTACATTTTTATAAAATTTATTGATTTTATAATTAACTTTATTAGTTTTTTTTGTGATGTGATGCAGGATATAACTTGCATTAATATCCAGCTGTTAACTCAGAGATAGTAAATCTAATCAGAAACTAGCTTTGTTTATTTTAAAATTAATTTTAAAAATCAGATTAAAACAGGTTTTAAGTAAGATTTATCACAGTGATAACAAAATAAGACCTGAACATTAAAATTTCTTTTACTATATTTTTACAACATACATTTAAAATTTTTTTTATGTATTCTAAACTTGTTCCAAAAAAATAAAATTAATAATCAGGTAAAAAACCTTGAAAAATTTTAAAATTTTCATTATCTATAATATTATATCTAAAAATAGGAATACAGTATATAAATGCATAAAAATAAAGTTTTATGGTTTGCATTTATTTATAATTATACAGTAATTCATTGTTACAAAATTGGAGATACTGCATTGCCTTTATATATAAATTATTTCCAATTCCTCAATAAATTTAAAAATACTTCTCTAAATCCTCAAATGTAAACAATTTTACTTATTAAGCAAAATGTGTTTGACATTTCTTGATATTATTTCTTGTATTTAATTAATAAAAGTTTTATTTAACACTCAGAAAACATATTGCTTAAAGTTGTTATTCAATGTCCAATATACATTTTAAATATTACATATAACATTAAATAAACTGAAGGTTTTATAAGTTTGGCATATATTTAATTGAGATTGTAATTCAGCTACAAACATTTTTAAAACTGAAATTATATTTGAGTCAGTTCTCAGTAATCATAAGATGACAAATCAGAATTTTTAACAAGAGAATTTTATTTTTAGTTTTGTTTCATTTGTAATTTTTAAATATATTATTCCTATCGTAAATATTATTAAGATTGAAGATTAGAATTGATATGATAATTGTTGTTATGAATTTATCATCATGAAATAATCATTCATTCTAAATTTTAAATTGCAAAGTTCTTTTAATTCTAATGAGAAATTAAAAGATTAATTTCTATTAATAGTAGTATTTGATTTAAAAATAGAAAAATTTAGTACTGTAGTATTAATTAATTCAACTACTCAAAACTGGGTAAACTGCACAAATATCCAAGATCCAGCAAGAAAAACTAAAAGAAAGCAAACATTTTCATACATTTAATGGGCATTGTCAGATCTGATGATATCTGTTAAACATAGATGAAAATGCTTTCTTGTAGCTTCTCGCTGGATCTTGGTTATTTGTGCAGTGTATTAGCAGTATTAATTAAGTAATTAATTTCAAAAAGTAAGGTAATTCTCCTTTATTACTTAGTTTTTTTTTATTTAAAGAAAACTAAATAGTAAATTTTTTAATATTTAATTTAATTTTTCTGCTTCATTTTTAATTGCTATCATGACTAAATAAAGAATTTTTGAATAAGTGCATAATAATTATGATATAGCAATTACAAATAATCAAAAATAACATTTATAATTTTCATAAACATACAAGCAAAGATTCATTGCAAAAGTCTTACTTACCAATAGTGTAAATATTTTCCAGAAGAAGCATTTAAGTATCCTGAATAATGATGGAAATTTAATTTGTAAGTGAGACCAGGCAGATTAAGAACTTCATCTGGATTTGTGGCCGCAGTAATTAAATTTATGGAAATAAATATAACTGCACTTATGAATAAAAACATGTTTGTGACCTAAAAGTATAAAAATAAAAATTATTATTTTTAAAATGTCTTGTAAATTATTTATCAAAATAAAAAAATAGGAAATCAACAAAAAGACATTGTTACACAAAGAAATATTTATAGAAAAATATTTTTTGTATAAATATTTCTTTATTCTCATAATTTTAAATAAATTAATAAAAAAAAAAAACATGACAAACTTAGGCATATACAAATATTTTTATGTCCACAGCAAATGTGGGCAAATTTTCACTTTTCTGAAAAAAAAGGCTAAAATTTCAAAAATTAACATATAAATATAAAAATTTAGCCAAAACTTTCCAAGATTTACTGCAAAATAGGCTTGAAAGAAAACATTTTTGGGCATGGGACAATGAAAAAAATCTGGCCGCCCTGAGTCTTACTTATAAATATGTACCAGTGTTGTATTTCTTAATAGTTGTAATATATGCAATGTACAGTAATTTCAACTTGTAATGTACAGTACAAAATATACAATAAACAGATTCTTTGAAACTGACTGATGTGACTCATGGATTATTTTAGTTGACTCACATTTACAAACCTAGCGTGTCTGTGAATCACAAACTTTTATACTAGCATATGCTCTGCTATTGCTCTGGAGAAACTGGAACAAAATCTGGGCAATCAGTTTCAAATAATTTTTACAAGGTTGGCATCTCCTGAATATGTCAGAGTTGGACCGTCATCACCCAGCATTGTGAATCTGGGCAAACCCACAATGGACCTGACAAAAAGGCACAAATTTTTCCCTCACTCTTTCTGTCCTGACAATTATTACTTCAAATTATTTATATCTATATTTTATAAAATTTGCAAAAATATTTGCAAAAATATTTTATAAAATATCAACATTTTATATGTTGATATTTTATATGTTATATAAAATATAACATATAAAATATTTTGCATATAATGCAAAATATTTTATTTGCAAAATATATAATGCAAAATATAACTATAATATAATAAAATATTTTGCATATAATGCAAAATATTTTATTATATTATAGTTATTTCAAATTGTCCAATTAGAAATAACTGCATCATAGATCATAATTGTGGTCATAATAGACCACAAATTATGATCTATGATGCAGTTATTTCTAATTGGACAATTTGATTATGGAAAATGGAAACATAATCAATCAATCAAAATACAATTATACAAATAAAAAATTGTATTTTTGTTAAATATGCAAAACTATATACAGTGGGTGATCGGTTAACGAACAGATCGGATAACGAACAAATCGGATAACGAACACTTTCGCGAAAGATTTTTATGTTCGGACAATGAACACATGATCGGATAACGAACACCCCACGGAACAAACACAAGAAGAAGCGACGTAAAATAATGAATACCGATTGGTCTTCCCTTGTCTTCGGGCAACAATTCGAAACTTTTCGGAGTGTGGAAGACGTCGACATCAACGCTCAAGCCGGTATATACCGATCGGATAGTATTCCTCCGAACTTTGAAATCCTCCCTTGTAATTCCAGCCTTTTATTTTTCTGACAAAACAATTCTTTCGTGTATTCGCGAGACTGTTGGGTAGGCACTCGTTAAGTTTTGCGTCTGTTTTTCTTTTCGAAAGATGAGAGTATAATAGCAAAGGTAGAGAGTGGACAGAAGTTACCTAATGTTGCTGGGCAATATGTAGTAAACAGGTCTACAGTAGGCCTCAGTTCAATCTTATTTAAGAAAAATGCTGTATAATCAAAAAGACTCCAGCAGCTAAAGCAGTAACAAAAATCTCATCTGAGAAATAAAGAACATCGAAGAGTTCATGATAGAACCTGAAACGGATCTGACGACAGAAGAACGCCAAGAACTCTTGAATGAAGAACACCAAGAAACTCGGCGAGATATGTTTTCTTCTGAAAAAGAGGATTAATGCCGATATCTGTTATTAAAGATCTTTTTTAGAAGTGGGAGGATGTCAGAACAACTGTCTTAGAATGGCATCCAAACCATGTTGAGACTTGGGGATATAATTACTTACGAAAAATCGTCAAGAAGAGAGAAAAGCAATCGACATTAGACAGATTCTTTAACCCTTTCAAACGGAAAAAACATGACTAATAAAAACGCAACACTGTGTATGTATGTAGTTTTATTGTTATATATAAATAAACGTAGTAAGAAGGTATAGGCCTATATTTATTATTTTTTAAGGGCTCCAGAACGAATTAATTAAATTCCCATTAAAACCTATGGTAAATTGATAATCGGTTAACGAACAATTCGGATAGCGAACAAAATCTTGGAACGGATTATGTTCGTTAACCGATCACCCACTGTATATTTTTTAAAAGTTACTAAATAATTCTTAAGTCTTCTGTACATTAAACGGATGTTCATGAATCCTAAACGTTACAAAGATATAAAATTTATATAAATATTCCAAAATATTTACAATTCTCTCAAGGATCAACAAATTATTTAATTTTTAAACATCCGAAATTCAGTCCTTAAGCTTAAGAACTTTTCATATGCAAGTTCATTCATTACTTTAATAATATAATTTTACACACGACTGTAACAATGTTAAAGAATTAAAATAATATAATAAAAAAGGTATTACCTAAAACACCTGATCAGCTGTCTAATTATGCACGTGACTATTGTGCAAAATCAACCACCATGCGGAGTTAATGAGAATAAAGTTAAAAAAAAAACGTTAACGAATCCGACAATAATGTTAAAATTATTAATTATTATTCATTATTTATATAATAGATGATATTAAAAATTGCTTTATATTTTTTATTAGCAATATTTCATTAATTAAAGATGAATTTAAGTTCTGGGCATAGTTACTAGATAAACTGGTAGGGAGAGCAGAGCAGAATTTTCTGTCTAGAGCCAAGTCCGAGTCATGCATTTTCATTGAAAATCTCCAATTTTTCCTAGCATATCCCCAAAGAGATTTTCTCCGGTTGGAAACCCCAAGTATAAGTATAGCGTCTAGCGTGCACACAAGAACTTAAATCTAACTTAAAACGTAAAGGAACTCGTCAATCACCACCCGGCTGAACCCACGATAGTATTGTAAAAGGCTTTCTCAGTGCTCCAGGGCAGGTAGAGCAAAAAAAAAAACAAACAAAACAAAACAAAAATTAAGCCGCATAAAAACATAAATTTTCAGCCGATTTCTTTTGGCATAATTGTTTAACGTGGAAGAGCTAACATAATTTTAAAAATCTTTACCCCTGTGGGCACTACACCTTATTTTCATGTCCACAATGGAATCAGGCTCATGAAAGAAGCAACGAATACCATTTCAAATTTCCGACTCGGATTCAAACTCAGGTTTCTCAGAGAGCTCTTATGTGAACAGCTCTCATCCCATTCTTATATTTTTCAATAAAGAAATGATTTATTTTTCTTAGTATTTTCTGTCTCTGATTAAAAGCAATGTCTTTTTTTGTCAATAAGTTTTATATTTGTGATTTTATTTGAGTTTTCCTCATATTGTAATATGTCTGAACATTTTTTTTTTTAAATAATGTGAACTGCGGTGGCAAAATTAGACTGACTCCAAAAGTTCAATTGTAATTTGAAAACAGCCTTTAATAAATTCGCAGATAATATTTTAATCTCGAAAACTGAGATTTGTTTCAATATGGTATGGATGAACTAGTCATGAAATAGTTACGGCGTATAAAGAATTCAACTTCTCGAGCTTATATTTTTAAAAATTAATGGGGGACGTGTCGTGACTGCCGAAGCAAGCTGCTGGAGCACTTTCTCTCAGACCTTAACAATATAAAGGAAGTTTTTTAAATGTTCTTTACTGAGAAAATACAATAATATTAACTTAATTTTAATACTTTTACTTATTTCTGAAGTGGAATCTAATACTAGTCCCTTACAAAGATCCTCGACAAAACATGGAAGATCTCCGTTGGGTCGAAGTAAGTCAAGCAACAGGAAGGAGCATTTTACTTCTAATAATAAACTAATAACTGACTTCAGCTTACCTGAGGATAAAGAAGTACATACATAATATGTCTAAAGGTGAAACTGACTCCCAGATAGACGAAATACAAGCTTTACCGTCAAATGTACCAACCTCGTAATTAATTAATAGTTAATACTAAGGAAATTACAAACACCTCAATGACAAACTTATGGAATAGAATATCAGATTTAATTAACAACTCTAACGAGAGACTAGCTAATCAAATGACTTCTATAAAAACTGATTTAGACTCAATACGTGAATTTATTTGAGAATTTAAAAATCAATTCCATAAGGCAGAAGAAAAAATGCAAAACATGGAATTACAAATTATGGAATTAAAAACGGTAAAGGAACTTGTGCACTTCAAAATGGATTCTCTAATTAATAATTTCAATCAAAATAACGTAATTATATATAAATATCCTAGATCGAAAAACATTTCCAGACAAGATATATGGAATTTTATGAAAAAAACACTGAATCTAGACTCCGTACTTTTAGAAGATAGGTTAGATATAACTCAACTAATACTGTATTATAAAATTATTGTTAAGAAATAATCAAATTCGTAATATTTTTTCACTTCTTTCATTAAACGAAAACAAGAAAAATTACTTGGTGAATGGCAAAATATGCAAATCTCAGCTGATCTCAGAGTTCTCAGATAAGACGAAATAATCTTCTTCCCTTCTATATCGAAATGAAAAAGCAAAATCATCAGGTTAAACTTCGTAATGATAATTTGATATTAAAACAAGATAAGATAACATACTGCATAAAAACAAAGCAATTAGTGAATGTGGAAAATTTTTTTTTATCAATCCCGTCAATACAGAATTCAAAGTCTAATAAATTGCAAAAGATCGCGCCTACAAAAAATACCACGAATAATCAAATGTTAGTAGTGATAAACTGGAATTGCCAGGGATTAAAAAAATAAAATTTCATTGTCTAAAAAACAAACTATTTACATCTTTTATAGATATTGAGAAAGCTTTTGATATGATCTACGTACCACTTTTGGTCCAGAATTTCAGAGAGAAATGAGCAGGTGAAAAGTTTTCCTACACAATGCTTAAGTTGTTTTCGGACTATGATACTAGCATCAATCAAGGAAACAAATATCCTTCATTTAAATTATTCCGTGGAATTCTACAGGGCGATCGCTTTCTCCATACCTGTTTAATTTTTATCTGATTGGAATTGACCAACTCTTCACAAACTCCACTGATGGCATCGTAATTGCAGGCAGATCTTTTCATCATATATTATTTGCAGATGACTAGTTCTTAAGTTATTCTTTAAATCGTTGCACCCATCAATTAATCCCAATAAAACAAAGATAATGATTTTCAGAAATAATAATAAAATCTCAGAAAAAGAAACCAAACTGTATTTAGAAAATTTACCCCTTCAATTAATCAGATTGATTATTTAGGAGTGACCTTTGAATCAAATGTAAGTTTTAAATCACACGTTACAAAATTAAATAGTAAAGTGAAAGCAACAATTGATAATTTGTTACTTCTACGTTCAAGATTAAAAATCTCTAATATATACCTACACATGAGATTATATAATTCTCTAATAAATTCAATTATATATTATGCAGGACCAATTTGGGGTCTCGATTTCTTATATGATCTGGAACGCTTCCATATTTACTTTCTTTGAAGACTATATGAACTAGAAAAAACCGTGCCTGGATATGCTATTCGACATGAGACAAATCGACTCTGGCTCCTCCCATTCTTTTTAAAACGCATAATAAAATTCTACTATCGAATAAAATTTAAAAGTGACGGAAATATATCTTTTTTACACCAAGAAATGTTAAAGCAAAGTAAAAGACAGAAAATTAATCAAGTAAGCCAAACAAAGTTGAACAAAATCCTACATATATTCGGTGTAAGTACTCTGTTGTTTGAGAATAATATTCATGATTGGAAATACGGATATTCATTACTTATAGATTCTGCAATATCACAAAGTATAAACAAAGATCTGCAATATCACAAAGTATAAACAAAGATCAAAATGAGTGATCATTGTAATCAAAAAATACTAAAAATTCCTCCACTACAACCATATATAGACTACCCATTGGGAATAAATGTTAAAAGACTAATAATTCAATTACGTTTAAATAAAAGCTCATTATTCATAGGAAATAAATATATAAATTTTTTAAATAAAAATTATTATTGGTGCGACTCAAGCGACATTTCAATATTACACATACTAAAAGACTGTGAGAAATTTACTCAAATACGAAAGTCACATGGAATATCTTACATAATAAAACAAAGTTTAACTGAAGACTTTAGAGAAAAGCTGAATAAACTTTCAAAGGAGCTGTACAGCTTGTATAATTTTGTAATCAAGTGAAAGGAGATGAAACTAGCAAATAATAAACAAAATCTAAGAACTTGTAAGAAAATAATTATCAACGTAAATTTTGATTTTCTGTTTGTAAAAAAGTATACTTACCTCTTGATAATTAATTACTTAGCCCCTGAGTGACAGGGCTTCCACCCTTTATACCAGGGGTCGGCAACCTGCGGCTCTTTGGATGTGAAGCTGCGGCTCTTTAGTTCCATACGCAAATATTATTTATTTTATCAAAAAAAAAACACACATTNAAGTGATATTTGTCCATCTCTAAAATAAAAACTTAAATTCATTTTTGATTCAACAGTTAATTGTCATTTTAAAAACTATTTTCTTATCAAACTTCTATAAAAAAATTTAATTAATTAATTTTACCTTATTCCAGCTATAAACATTTTCATACAATGTTTTTCCATCTGGGTTAACATGAAATGGTCCATTTTCACTTAACAAACCATCCAAAGAACTACATCCTGGTCCACCATTCAACCAGAGAACCAATGGATCTTCTGAAGGGTTTTTCTGACTTTCCACAAACCTTGGTTTAAGAATATTAATGATTTTTATTTTATAAATAATGTTAAAAAATGTCATTAAGTCATCTTACAGAAAGAAAACAATTTTCTTTCTTAAATATAATTTGTCTCATAATTCATGTAAATTATAGTTATATCATTACAGTTTAGTATTAACAATAAGTATAAATGCATTTAAACATTAATTAGCCTACTGTGCAATATACAGTGTGATTCAAAAGTGTGTGTAGCTTTATACTTCAAAAACTAAATATGTACAAATGTTAAAACTAAGGCTCTTGAATATTTACTAAAAACCTTTTTAAAGTTTAGCTCTACATTAATAAAATTATCACAACTTATTTCATTTTATTTACAGATTCCATTAGTCATCCCAAATTGTGGAAGTTGAAAAGACAGCATGTTTTGGCTTGAAGAATTAAAGTCAATGATAGCCATTAGAAGTATGCTTTTCATTACATACATATGTCACACATGGTAAAACATCTTACTGCATACTTTTGTTTGTCTTTAGTTCTTGAAGTATAAAACTGCACACAGATTAAAAGAACTTTGTATATTTGATTAATTAAAAATAATTCTTTTTGTTCATAGAATAATATCAAAAACTTCAAAATTGTTTTAATAGTTTTCTATTAACCAGTGGCGTGCTGTGACATTTGATGATAGGGAAGCTGTGCTTCTGTAACAAGCCGACATCCAGGGGTAATCAGTCAACTGTGCGTCAGTGATGGTCTAGGGTCCATTTGTATCATTTATTCAATAAGCCAGTAAAAGCTGTAGATTACTCTAAATGCATTTTTAATATCACAATTACATTCCGAATCGCTAGCCATGATATAAGGGCTACAATTAAAAATAAAATAATAATACCTTAATAGATAAATAAATAAAGAACTTACTGGATAATGTATAACACCTTATTAATCCCAGCAATATTTAATAAGAATAATAACGTTTTCGACTGTTTTAAACAGCCTTCATCAGAAATAGTTTAACTGATGAAGGCTGTTTAAAACAGTCAAAAACGTTATTATTCTTATTAAATATTGCTGGGATTAATAAGGTGTTGTGTTTGTTAATAATAACTTACTTAGTGAAATAAAATGTGTGGTGGATGTACCGGTACTGTACCAGTACATACCTGGTACAAAATATTATTCAATTGTATGAATATACTTTTAAAGAAAATTATAGTTAAATATAGATTTGTAAAGAAACGTACATAAAAATATAAAATATTCTTTACTTTTTAAATTTTAAAACAATGCACTTAGTCAAATAGCTCCCTACGAGTGGCTAATGGATGGAATCGAAGACAGTTGTAGAGCGTGCATACACGTGGACTTCCAAATCCCCAGGGTGCCGATACCGGTCAATGTCAAATACCTCTTTTGTCACATCACTAGTATATCTCAAAGGACATGGCAGGGCTGTTGTAGATTTTAAACGTTTCTCACCATAGCTGTAAAAATCTAAATATGTTAAACTTAATAGTCATTTGTTTTCTAACTAATTCGTTTTAGGACCAAGTGTCCTCAGAAATTTCCAAAATTTACAACTTTTCAGTCATTCTCATTTAACTGGAAAAATTTCTGTCTTTATTACATTAATAATACGAAGAAATTAGTCCCCACTGTACTCGGCTAGAGATGGCTCAGTTAAGCCAGTGTTTCTCAACCTCTAACGAATTGTCGCCCCCTTCAATAAAACCGTTACCTATTATTGTCCCCTTCACTTCAAAATTCCGATGCCGAGGACCAAGACTAACGCCAAATTCGTACTGCATTGAATAGACTAGTGACTAGTTTAATGTTATTTGTTTAATTATTGTACAATATAACAAATAAAATATCTAATTATTCTTAATATAATGTTTTACTATATCGCCCAGAAAATTGTTTTTCGCCTCCCCAAAATATAAATTGTTACTAATTGCCCCTCAACATGGAAAAACGCCCACGAGGGCGATATCGGCACCCATTGAAAAACACTGGGTTAAGCTTTTGTTTAAGTAAAATTTTGGCTCTTTCATCAGGGTTTTGTTTATGTCCCCAATTCCCTAATCTCTTAATTATTTAACTACTTCTTAAGTAGAAGTAAGTCAAAACCAGATACTTTGTACTCGAATATTTGTAGTCTTGGGAAAAAAGTGGAAAGACAAATTTTTATGACAAACAGATACATAAATCGTAAATTTAAGGAAAATAAATTCTAGAGCTTTTTCTGTACCTCGTGCATCTCTCTCATTCATTAAATTTAGTTGTAAATGATGCTGTCAAAGTAACAGTTAATTTTTTAACATTATACAAGAATTGTACACGTTTTTTTCTACATCCCCTTAAAGATGGGATATACGAAATCGTAATATCACTGGTTTAACATTGAAATCCGTGAGTAATATAAAATCGGAGAGTGGAATAAAAATATCAAATATTTTAATGGATTTTTTAAAAATCCTATCAACTATACAGAACTATCATAAAAACATACCAGTAAATTCTTATTGGTTGGGTTAAGTTATAAATCTACTCATGATTCACGTAATTGGGCGAGGGCGGTCAAATATCTAGCAGGCAGGCAGCTAACAGCCCAGAACCGGTCCTGAATGGAATTGGATGCGGTATACGTGTAGCATCCACCCAAGCTTCCACCAGCTAAACTGGGTTGGTGCTCTGTAAAGCGCATGCGTAAATCTGGCTTTTTGGATGCTGACAATACAGAGCTTTCACTCCACCACTAATATTTGAATATACAATAGCAATCTTATCTTTTTTTCACATGTAGTATAGAAATTAATAAGATACATAATGCAGTTATAATAAAATATTGTGTGATTATTTTCATATAATTAAAATTAATATGTATTTATTTTTTAGAAAATAGAAATTAATAGCAACGGCATGCCACTGCTATTAACTTATAAATAAAATGTGCAAATCTGTTCTGTACCACTGAATGCCTTACATCAGATTTTAAATTTTAAAATTTTATAACAAAAATTTTGTTATAAAAAATTTGATAATGGTTTGAAAAAAATTGATAATGGTAATTATAGTTATTTCTCATTAAATTTTATTAGGACTTTTTATCCATTACATTTTTATAAAATTTATTGATTTTATAATTAACTTTATTAGTTTTTTTTGTGATGTGATGCAGGATATAACTTGCATTAATATCCAGCTGTTAACTCAGAGATAGTAAATCTAATCAGAAACTAGCTTTGTTTATTTTAAAATTAATTTTAAAAATCAGATTAAAACAGGTTTTAAGTAAGATTTATCACAGTGATAACAAAATAAGACCTGAACATTAAAATTTCTTTTACTATATTTTTACAACATACATTTAAAATTTTTTTTATGTATTCTAAACTTGTTCCAAAAAAATAAAATTAATAATCAGGTAAAAAACCTTGAAAAATTTTAAAATTTTCATTATCTATAATATTATATCTAAAAATAGGAATACAGTATATAAATGCATAAAAATAAAGTTTTATGGTTTGCATTTATTTATAATTATACAGTAATTCATTGTTACAAAATTGGAGATACTGCATTGCCTTTATATATAAATTATTTCCAATTCCTCAATAAATTTAAAAATACTTCTCTAAATCCTCAAATGTAAACAATTTTACTTATTAAGCAAAATGTGTTTGACATTTCTTGATATTATTTCTTGTATTTAATTAATAAAAGTTTTATTTAACACTCAGAAAACATATTGCTTAAAGTTGTTATTCAATGTCCAATATACATTTTAAATATTACATATAACATTAAATAAACTGAAGGTTTTATAAGTTTGGCATATATTTAATTGAGATTGTAATTCAGCTACAAACATTTTTAAAACTGAAATTATATTTGAGTCAGTTCTCAGTAATCATAAGATGACAAATCAGAATTTTTAACAAGAGAATTTTATTTTTAGTTTTGTTTCATTTGTAATTTTTAAATATATTATTCCTATCGTAAATATTATTAAGATTGAAGATTAGAATTGATATGATAATTGTTGTTATGAATTTATCATCATGAAATAATCATTCATTCTAAATTTTAAATTGCAAAGTTCTTTTAATTCTAATGAGAAATTAAAAGATTAATTTCTATTAATAGTAGTATTTGATTTAAAAATAGAAAAATTTAGTACTGTAGTATTAATTAATTCAACTACTCAAAACTGGGTAAACTGCACAAATATCCAAGATCCAGCAAGAAAAACTAAAAGAAAGCAAACATTTTCATACATTTAATGGGCATTGTCAGATCTGATGATATCTGTTAAACATAGATGAAAATGCTTTCTTGTAGCTTCTCGCTGGATCTTGGTTATTTGTGCAGTGTATTAGCAGTATTAATTAAGTAATTAATTTCAAAAAGTAAGGTAATTCTCCTTTATTACTTAGTTTTTTTTTTATTTAAAGAAAACTAAATAGTAAATTTTTTAATATTTAATTTAATTTTTCTGCTTCATTTTTAATTGCTATCATGACTAAATAAAGAATTTTTGAATAAGTGCATAATAATTATGATATAGCAATTACAAATAATCAAAAATAACATTTATAATTTTCATAAACATACAAGCAAAGATTCATTGCAAAAGTCTTACTTACCAATAGTGTAAATATTTTCCAGAAGAAGCATTTAAGTATCCTGAATAATGATGGAAATTTAATTTGTAAGTGAGACCAGGCAGATTAAGAACTTCATCTGGATTTGTGGCCGCAGTAATTAAATTTATGGAAATAAATATAACTGCACTTATGAATAAAAACATGTTTGTGACCTAAAAGTATAAAAATAAAAATTATTATTTTTAAAATGTCTTCTAAATTATTTATTAAAATAAAAAAATAGGAAATCAACAAAAAGACATTGTTACACAAAGAAATATTTATAGAAAAATATTTTTTGTATAAATATTTCTTTATTCTCATAATTTTAAATAAATTAATAAAAAAAAAAAACATGACAAACTTAGGCATATACAAATATTTTTATGTCCACAGCAAATGTGGGCAAATTTTCACTTTTCTGAAAAAAAAGGCTAAAATTTCAAAAATTAACATACAGTAGAACCTCCATTATCCGGACCTCTATTATCCGGATTTTCGATTATCCGGATTGTTCAAAATAAACAAAAATTTTACGAATTTGCTGATTTGCACTTGGCGAATTACGACACTGTTTTACGAAATACTGTTTATGTTTATGTACGTGATGGAATGCATAACTTTTTTTGTTTCAACAACGTCTCACCCAGCACAGTGGTCGTAAACTCTTAAATATATTTTACGTAGTAATAAAAATATAACTTGACATACGTATTTATAAATAATTTATATTCAAATTACATCATTTCTATGACCAAGGGCNCAATGAACATTTTTCGATTTAATTATAGGAGTTCACACACAAATCTACTAAAGATATTCTGGATGCCATTTCTCAAACCGATACCCTTCACGGACAGAGTCAGCTATTAGGCATTCTTTGGTATCGCGAAGGACCACAGTTTTGGGTGGATGGAAGTAAATACTTTAACGTAATTTATTTGTGTCTGTAATATTTGGAATGGATGCTACTGATGAAAATAATATTTATTTTCATGTCCGTCTCGGCCATCAAAGGACCCCAATTGAATACAAGCATTTGAAAACCCAAATATGTGGGCTGTCTGTTCCACATATGTCAAGTACCATCCCTCACTAATAGGCTGGTTCTTTTGAGGGCTTGGCTGAACTCACAATGGGCATGGAATAAAGATCCTCTTAGTGCCCACAGGGCAGAAAAAATATAGCAATATTATTTTTATTAGTAGCTTATTTATAGAATAAATAAACTAATTATTATAGTAATTTGAGCAAATTAATTGTTGAACAGATTGAACAAATCAACTAATTATGTTAATAATTTGTAATTAGTAACAGTAAAGGAAAGACTTGAAAAACTAACGAGGCAGGCTGGAGCTCTCAGGCATTGGTAAATAATTTTTTAGATGTAGTATTATTGACGATTGTTTCAACATTAATTAGGAATTTTGTAACTTAGGTCTGTAGTACGTTACTGTTCTAGCGTTCTGGAGAAAATGGTCGATAGCATCAGTCCTTACATTACGTCAACCCTAGTCAGCGGCAAACAGGTGAGGTTTATCAAAAGTATTCCAGTATATGTAATTATCTACAATGATTTTTTATATTAGATTACAGTTGGTATTTTCGGTCACGAAGAAGTGGTCATCGATCATCCTCTAACTCCCAAAGAAGTAAAAGGCATTATATATGGTCAGTGTCAGCATCATGATATTTATCAAGCAGTTCTTCAACAAGAAATTATTCTCTATATCGGAAGACTCATTTCTACGTCACCGCATCTGTTTCATGGCATTTTGAAACTCAGAGTGGGGTAAGATATTTGTATTCTGAAGCAAACTGTTGTTTTTGTAAGTTTCACATTCTAATCCATTTGAATTCTAACCTATCAAGTGCTTGAGTACCTGACAGATTAAAATGGAAAACTTGCACTGGAATTATATGGAATGGTTGTTAATTCAAATGGAATTTTTATCATAAAAGATAAACTTCAAAATCTTATTCTATGTTTTTCCTTTAACTTTTAGCTGGATTATTCAAGCCATGATTCTTTATTTGAAATTCCTGAATGAGAATCCTCCAGTAAGTGTGTAATCTATTTAAACAGTTTTTCCTAAACTCAATTTCTCGACTTTATAATTTCAGGCGTTACACAGTCTTTCTCCTAGCGATTTACGAAAAGTCCTTTTTAAAGTGCTTGAAACGTCAGATAATGTTGCATCTAATAAGTAAGTTACTGTTGATTATCCAAAATTCATACACTAAACTATTGATTAAAGATGAAACTATTCCCAATATTTAAATAATAATAATAATGTATTACTAACCTAACCTAAAAGTTAGTTTAAATTTGATGTTTTTGAGATTGAAGTGTTTTTTATCCATCTTTTTCTTCTATGTGGTCACTAAGAGGGTCAATACTTCAAACATTTTTACACTGGACTTGCTGTATAACACATCTTTAAAATCTTCTGGGTGCCTGGTGACAAAATTCACGGGTAAACAAACATTTTCAGTCTCCCAAGCTCTGCTTGGAAAGCAGAAAACCTGAAGCAGAGCTCGGAAGGCATCAGAAAATGTTTGTTTACTCATGAATTTTGCTGCCATTCACCTGGAGATTTTTGAGGTGTGTTACTAATGGAGCCATTTTACTAGTCCTGTCATAAATCTGGTCGGGCCACCAATGGGATGGTACCTGTGACTTATCTAGGACAGAACACCCATGAAAAATTGCTGGGATTCAGTTGGATTTTTGATCCCAAGTCTCCCAGAACAGCACACTGATGCTTTTATTACCTTATCTGTCTGGATATCTGTTTGGAGTATACTTTGTCACTCTCAGAATCTTATATATACAAGATTCTGAGAGTGACAAAGTATACTCCAAACAGATATCCAGACAGATAAGGTAATAAAAGCATCAGTGTGCTGTTCTGGGAGACTTGGGATCAAAAATCCAACTGAATCCCAGCAATTTTTCATGGGTGTTCTGTCCTAGATAAGTCACAGGTACCATCCCATTGGTGGCCCGACCAGATTTATGACAGGACTAGTAAAATGGCTCCATTAGTAACACACCTCAAAAATCTCCAGGTGAATGGCAGCAAAATTCATGAGTAAACAAACATTTTCTGATGCCTTCCGAGCTCTGCTTCAGGTTTTCTGCTTTCCAAGCAGAGCTTGGGAGACTGAAAATGTTTGTTTACCCGTGAATTTTGTCACCAGGCACCCAGAAGATTTTAAAGATGTGTTATACAGCAAGTCCAGTGTAAAAATGTTTGAAGTATTGACCCTCTTAGTGACCACATAGAAGAAAAAGATGGATAAAAAACACTTCAATCTCAAAAACATCAAATTTAAACTAACTTTTAGGTTAGGTTAGTAATACATTATTATTATTATTTAAATATTGGGAATAGTTTCATCTTTAATCAATAGTTTAGTGTATGAATTTTGGATAATCAACAGTAACTTACTTATTAGATGCAACATTATCTGACGTTTCAAGCACTTTAAAAAGGACTTTTCGTAAATCGCTAGGAGAAAGACTGTGTAACGCCTGAAATTATAAAGTCGAGAAATTGAGTTTAGGAAAAACTGTTTAAATAGATTACACACTTACTGGAGGATTCTCATTCAGGAATTTCAAATAAAGAATCATGGCTTGAATAATCCAGCTAAAAGTTAAAGGAAAAACATAGAATAATATTTTGAAGTTTATCTTTTATGATAAAAATTCCATTTGAATTAACAACCATTCCATATAATTCCAGTGCAAGTTTTCCATTTTAATCTGTCAGGTACTCAAGCACTTGATAGGTTAGAATTCAAATGGATTAGAATGTGAAACTTACAAAAACAACAGTTTGCTTCAGAATACAAATATCTTACCCCACTCTGAGTTTCAAAATGCCATGAAACAGATGCGGTGACGTAGAAATGAGTCTTCCGATATAGAGAATAATTTCTTGTTGAAGAACTGCTTGATAAATATCATGATGCTGACACTGACCATATATAATGCCTTTTACTTCTTTGGGAGTTAGAGGATGATCGATGACCACTTCTTCGTGACCGAAAATACCAACTGTAATCTAATATAAAAAATCATTGTAGATAATTACATATACTGGAATACTTTTGATAAACCTCACCTGTTTGCCGCTGACTAGGGTTGACGTAATGTAAGGACTGATGCTATCGACCATTTTCTCCAGAACGCTAGAACAGTAACGTACTACAGACCTAAGTTACAAAATTCCTAATTAATGTTGAAACAATCGTCAATAATACTACATCTAAAAAATTATTTACCAATGCCTGAGAGCTCCAGCCTGCCTCGTTAGTTTTTCAAGTCTTTCCTTTACTGTTACTAATTACAAATTATTAACATAATTAGTTGATTTGTTCAATCTGTTCAACAATTAATTTGCTCAAATTACTATAATAATTAGTTTATTTATTCTATAAATAAGCTACTAATAAAAATAATATTGCTATATTTTTTCTGCCCTGTGGGCACTAAGAGGATCTTTATTCCATGCCCATTGTGAGTTCAGCCAAGCCCTCAAAAGAACCAGCCTATTAGTGAGGGATGGTACTTGACATATGTGGAACAGACAGCCCACATATTTGGGTTTTCAAATGCTTGTATTCAATTGGGGTCCTTTGATGGCCGAGACGGACATGAAAATAAATATTATTTTCATCAGTAGCATCCATTCCAAATATTACAGACACAAATAAATTACGTTAAAGTATTTACTTCCATCCACCCAAAACTGTGGTCCTTCGCGATACCAAAGAATGCCTAATAGCTGACTCTGTCCGTGAAGGGTATCGGTTTGAGAAATGGCATCCAGAATATCTTTAGTAGATTTGTGTGTGAACTCCTATAATTAAATCGAAAAATGTTCATTGTTGCAAGCAACATTGAATTTTAATAATAGAAATATAAATCTACCTCAAAATTGTAAGTAGGTTCGCTATAAATTATTGCTTTAGGAATATCGGTTAAACTTTGATATCCAATCGAAGTATGTTCTAATTGCTGAAATGCTTCAAATTTTGGAATAATATCGGGTGGTAGTAAATGAAGAAAGTCAAGATGTTCTATACAAGACGATGATATAAGATTCTGCAATAATTTATTTTCTATTACCCTCAAGAAAACGATTTAAACAATGATTTTCTTTTGGAATTAATCAATATACTTACTTGAAGTCTACCAGTACGAATCTTTAATCCGTCACAGTGACCCTTCTTGAACATTGCCAATAGATCCAGCATTTCTTTAAAGTGTGTATCTCTAAGTAATAAACCTTAATTTATGTAATGTTTACTTATTATTTAAATAAACATACAATAATAATAATGCTAAGTAAAAACATAAATTTTTTTATTAGTTTTCATAAAAATAGGTAAACAAACCTCATGTGTTCTTCCCTGATCAAAATGCAGACTGTTGGTCTACCAGACATTCTCCAATACTTGCCCACGAAATGAAGTTCATTCTAATCAAAATTAATTTATTCATTATGTATGAAAAATTTGAAAGTTTTCATTTTAAGTTTTATTTATGTTAAAAAGAAACCAGATTAATTTAATGGATAAATAACGGACAATCAAAGCATCGGCATGCCACTCTGAAAGATTTGAATTTGAGAATGCATCAAATCCTCTAATTTCCATGGAATCCAAATATATTAGGTTCCATCCAAAATCCAAGGTCCTATTCCCATCCTCAACCCAAATCCAAGCTTTTTCAAGATTTCACTCCAAGAAAGCTTAAGATTTGTTAGAAATTTGATTGGAATATAGAGAATATGGCATTATGAAAATATTTTTACAATGGAAGAAAGTTCATAGATTATTTTAAAATTAAGCCATTTCATATTATCAAATACTGATAACAGATAAGCTTCTGAAAAGCAATAACTATTAACGAGTTGGATATGGAAGAGTTACATATTCACTTGGGTTTAGCAAGAGTTTATTTTAGAGAATTAAAATCATTATTCAATTTTATAATATTAATTCCAAATTCTAATGCAATGCTTTTGAAATGATAGATACATTTTAACAACATAAACAATGTGGAATGGCATTTAAGAATAAAGGCCAGTCTACATGTAACTTTTTATTGTCAATCTTGCATGATCAATTAAGACTGATGCAAAACATATGGCCATGCTTTCACTTTATCTTTTCCACAGATATCATGGATAGAGAATTATTGTTAACAATTATTTCATTGTGTGTGCTAAAGTTGAAAAAAAAAAAAAAAAAAAAAAACATTTAAAAATCGTTCTGAATCGATTAACGAGGATTCGGTCACCGATTCTATCTCTCAGCCACTTGTACTCGCTTTTCATCGCATCGCACCCCTCCCCCGTGACACGCGTCGTCACTGTCGTCAGTCTGTCGGAAGCTCTCGAATGACGCCGTCGTCGGATGTTTCTATTATCTAATTTGTTGTGAAAAACACTACTTATATATGAATAAATAGATATTTTTTCTTATGAATAAATAGATTAGGTTTTTTTTTAATCAAAAAACTTTATTTATGCGAGTACTATTTATTGTTGGCAAGAAAAAATTTTGTGGCTCTTTAAAAACTTTGAAATTTTGTAAATTGTAATTTTTGGCTCTTCCGACTCAAAAGGTTGCCGACCCCTGCTTTATATTAATAAAAATTGATTAATTATTATAATTCAACTTCTCGTCTGTTCGAATATAGGACTTATATAAAATTGAATAATGAAAGAAACTATCGCCTTATTTTAATCACATGTAGAGAATTAATTTACAATCACTTGAAAAATAATAAGTTATTAAACTAGAAATTAATATTAAAGTTTAATAATATTATTTGAAATTATTGCTTATAATTTTTATCGCTATAAAAATTATTTACAACAATAAATAGTATAATAACAACAACAATAATTAGTGTAATAAAAAGAAAGTTATTGATATAAAATATTAATCGTCAAGCCTACTGGTGAGCAATTTCCTTATCTGAATTTATTTTAAAAATTTCAGGATTATTTTAAAAAAATATAGGATGTGAATACAGGATATTTTCTGTTGATAATTATTATTTGAAATTTTTGTAAACATTTGTCTCAGTTTATTGATCCATCAATACAATCATCACCAACCAATACAGATGTATTTATATATACTCTAATTAAACTTTTGGATCGGAAATTATATATATTCGTATATATTATTAATATACATTGTTTAAAACGATACAAATATTTTCCATTAATTTGTAGTTGCTGAGCTCTGTTGTTAATTATAGTTCTTATGTGATACTACATACCATTATCTATGTTGACTGATCTGATAAAGCGATAGACACAGATATATATATTACTACAATGGTTTATAATCTAATATGATATAATTTATCTAGATCAGTCAATGAACACTAATATTGAAATGAAACTAAATTGATAACTTGTAAGCAATGCGACACATAAAATTAATACAATAGAGCGTCGTTTATCCGAAAGTCGGTTATCCGAAAGAGTTCCAGTCGGCAAATTTAAATTTTCGCTAGTGCTGTGGCGCTGCAATCTTTGGCTATATCTTGGGCTACTCCAATATTTTTTTCTTGATGTGTGTGTTTTAGCTGGCAACACTGGCACTTTTGTGTGGTTTTTTCTGGGGACTGTATGTCGTGCTGAATCGAACGTTTTTGATACTAGATTAACTTCTAAAGTATAATTTTTCTGTTTTTATATTTTTCAATATATTTATTTCGTTTGTAAAAAATAAAAAAATAATTTTTAACGATACAATAGCCGCGATTATTATTTTGAAAAGTTTACATTAGGCTTAACATCGACGAAAATTCAACGAGAAGCGACATGCAATGGAGAAAAATTTCAACATGGGATAGATTAATATATTTTTTTGTACATAATCGGTTATCCGAAAAATAAGTTATCCGAACAACCTCAGTCCCCAATTGATTCGGATAAACGACGCTCTACTGTACTAAAAGAAAATCTTTATATAACATAAATCTTATGTACAGTATTAATAAAGAAGTCCACATATCAAAGAACTCGAAAATTCTTTTTCTATTGTTTCCAATACCATAATATTTTATTCTTAGTCTTTTCTTTTTTACTCAAGCAGACTATAGGTTCGGACAGGCCCACAATAAGACAGTCAGGTGATATGGGATATGGGACGGAGCTCTGCATATCCGGACGATCCATCCCCGAAAAATTCTTGGGTTTTTTCAATCTGTTTGGATTCCATCTCGAATTCTACCGTCTATCTTACAGTAATAATATTTTCACCAATTTATTTTCTATGTTTTACTCTTTTTTTAAACTATAGATGCACTTATGCTTAATCCCTTCACACGCTAATACAGTACTATAAATTCATTAAATTACATCATCATTAAATATTTCGTGATTATTTTCATCACGAGAATTAAAAGTAAAGGCTTTAATGTAACATTAAATATAATATATAATGCTTCATTAAACTTATTGTACTTTAGAAATGTAGCCTATATTCACTGTTTAACAATTAATTACAATTTATAGCGATTTTTAAGTATCGTCACAAGATTTAAGATTATTTTTTAACCTTTCATTTATTTATCTTTTCAAGTGATATATTTTAAATGAAAAAGATAAACTAAAAGACTAAATAATTTTGTAAGATACCTGCATTGAAAAGATAACGATTGCAAAAGCCTTTACTGTTTATAGATTGAACTGGTAAACTATCAACACGTATTCCATAAACGAGCAGCTTAGAAACTTTAATACATAAATATATTTATAAAGGTTAGCTTGTTGTACTACTATTTTACATGTATTAAAAAATTACACATACGCTTTAAAGATATCGTCTTATATAATTTAAAAAGTTCTTATAAAAATCTAAAATACTTAAAATTAATAGAATTAGGACAAAGTTGCTGTTGAGAACAAACTTTTTTGATTGAAAAAGTTTTTTTGATTGAAAAAGTAGATTTATTTTCTATAATTAGAAAGGATACGCATTTCGGGCTTTATGCCTCTAGTCCGTCCTTATTTTATTAAAAAATATATCGGCAAAAAACTATGTAAGAAATTACAGAATGTATTAAATTATATTTAATATACGCGTATAAAAATTTCTTTCAAAAAATAATTATCTAAAAATTAATAATTTTCAATAGAAAAGTTATTTTAGATTATACAGTACAGGCATACCTCGACTTACGTCGTTTCGAGTTACGTCGTTCCCGATTATACGTCGTTTGTCAAAAAAGTATACGGAAAAATAAAAATCAAGTTTAAGTCATTTTATTCGACTTTACGTCTGCCCGCCACAAATATTGAAGTCGTAATATCACTAGAAAAACGTTTAAAGCACATAAAATCATATTAAAATATATACTAGTATGTTCTGTATTTACAGTACATGCATTCGTAAATTTAGATTACTTTTTTTCTGTACTATATTAAAAACTAAAATTTATTTGTTTGTAAGCTTAAAATAGATTTTTATTAACCATATATTATTAAAAATGCATTAATAAATAAAATACAGAACCGGGAATGGTAATTTACGGTTTAGCCTAGTGATAAGTAGATTCGGAGACAAGTAAATTCGATTTACGTCGTTTTTCGACTTACGTCGTTTTCCTGGAACCAATTACCGACGTAAGGCGAGGTATACCTGTATACACAACTACATTTAATCTATTGATATACACTATTGCTATAAAATATTTCCGTTAAAACGCATTTGCATAGAGAATTTTTATTGTGATATATTTAGCATAGGATGAGTGACGAATCAATCTCGTGATTCTGTTTATCATATGCAAAATCTTCATTTGACTATATTTATTTATTCGATTATTAAACATTACATTTATCGATATTAAATGACTTTAAAAGATCTTTATGTATAAAATTTCGGAAATTAAAACTTGTTTCATTTAATATATACCTTATTATTAACAATAAAATATAGGTTAATTTCTCAACCAGTAAGCCGCGAACTACGTGAAGTTCGTGACTTAAAATAAATGTGTATATAATAATAATAAAATGCGAAAATAATAAATTAATATTAAGAATTAATAAATAATAAAATATATTTATATATAAAAACAATCAAATGAAAAAATCTATGTGCAGTAGAGCGTCGTTTATCCGAATCAATTGGGGACTGGGGTTGTTCGGATAACCGACGTTTCGGATAAACGACGCTCTACTGTATTAAATCTACTTACTCGAATCGAAAAATTCAATTGAAACGATTGTTTTCATTAGTTATTTTTATATAACTTTTGTCGCATCACGTGATTGATCTTGGAATTTAACTCTGTCGTTTAATCAAAAATATTAACGTAACGTTTTTTGTTATAAAAATTATAAGTATTATTAAATAACTTATCAATATAATTTTTAGTTTAACACATATTTTTAATAATATGAAATAAATTATTTCTACAAAAATTCATTTACTATTTTTACTTTTAAATTTATGTAATAAATTTTATCGAGGGGGCAGCACAATAGAATGTTCTTATAAACGAAATGTTAGAAACGATAAAACGGTGAGTGGTTAAAATACTACTTTCATACTTTTATAAATATTTAATAATTAGTTTTAGTTTTTAAGTCTGTCTAAATTACACGTAAGCCTAAATAGAGTGGTTGATTATCATATAAACTACGGCAAATTGGCGATACAATTCAAGCTCTGAATGAGACAGTTGGGACCTTATCAGAGCTGTAAAGCATACTCATGGAAACAAAAAAGTCAAAGGAACTATACCTCTATGAGCAACCCTTCGTGAAATATACCCCCAAAATTACTCTATGTGACATTCCTATGCTTTTTTTTCTACTTTGGATGTGTATTTTTGTTCTGTCAGAGAGCTCTTATCTGGTTGATTCTTCTTAAAATATGAAGGATTTATCTCAGTTTCTGCACTTCTAGGAAGTACTCATAATGCAGCAATTTCATTACTTAATTGATGCTTTTTCTAGACTATTAAACTTAAGAAGCAAACAGCATTTCTGATCTTTGAATGATAGCTTTATAGTGAGTAATTTTAGTATTTGAAATTTCCTGCTATCAAAACTGTTCAACTCCTCAAATGATCCTGTAAATGGTATAGATATATACTGTACAGGTGTTCCGGATCTAACTTCTATACTTATACTGTCTCCAGAAATTATATGCATCCCAAAATTTTAATATGGATTTTAGAAAAATATAGAATATTTAAAATCCACAATAATGGTATGAGGATGTAATATTCTGGTCATTATTTTTTCTTTTCAACATACATTCAGACTGTACTCCTTAAATATTGACACATACACCTTATATTGCTGAGAACCAAGTTTATTGCTTTAAACAAGTATTTTCAACCTGATCAACAAGGCCATTGTCAGGTTTTAAATTCTCTAGAACGTTTACAATCATTCTATATTCAAATGAATATGAGATAACAAATTCAATTTGAAGTGAATTTGTTATCACATATTTGTTCGAATATAGAACGATTGTAAACGTTCTAGAGAATTTAAAACCTGACAATGGTCTGTTGATCAGGTTGAAAATACTTGTTTAAAGCAATAAAGTTGGTTCTCAGCAATATAAGGTGTATGTGTCATAACATTATTTTTTCTCCAAAACTGTGCAAGCTGGAGAGTTTTTAGGTAATTGTTTATATTAAATTTTATTCATTAGAATTGGAGTTTTTCAGGTCTAAATATTCTTAAGATCTAAATATTAGTAAGCAAATCACTATTTCGTAATATAATCAATGTAAACATGTATGCAAAATTTTTTAAAATACACATCTTTATGAAATAAATTTTGTTTTAAAATATGTCTCTTAAAAATTTTTTGCACAGATATGTGATTTGAGAAAAATTATACAAACTTCTTATTATTACCTACCATTATAGTATTTCTTTATAACAATATTTAATTGTGTTCTCTTGATAGTGACTGGGGAATACCTTAACCAATATGTGAAATATACATTTTGATTGCATTAATAATATAGTTATAAAAAAATATTTTTCAGTAATGATATATAATATTACTATTTCATTCTGAAAACTTCAAAGTACACAGGTTTTAAATTCTCTAGAACGTTTACAATCATTCTATATTCAAATGAATATGAGATAACAAATTCAATTTGAAGTGAATTTGTTATCACATATTTGTTCGAATATAGAACGATTGTAAACGTTCTAGAGAATTTAAAACCTGACAATGGTCTGTTGATCAGGTTGAAAATACTTGTTTAAAGCAATAAAGTTGGTTCTCAGCAATATAAGGTGTATGTGTCATAACATTATTTTTTCTCCAAAACTGTGCAAGCTGGAGAGTTTTTAGGTAATTGTTTATATTAAATTTTATTCATTAGAATTGGAGTTTTTCAGGTCTAAATATTCTTAAGATCTAAATATTAGTAAGCAAATCACTATTTCGTAATATAATCAATGTAAACATGTATGCAAAATTTTTTAAAATACACATCTTTATGAAATAAATTTTGTTTTAAAATATGTCTCTTAAAAATTTTTTGCACAGATATGTGATTTGAGAAAAATTATACAAACTTCTTATTATTACCTACCATTATAGTATTTCTTTATAACAATATTTAATTGTGTTCTCTTGATAGTGACTGGGGAATACCTTAACCAATATGTGAAATATACATTTTGATTGCATTAATAATATAGTTATAAAAAAATATTTTTCAGTAATGATATATAATATTACTATTTCATTCTGAAAACTTCAAAGTACACAGGTTTTAAATTCTCTAGAACGTTTACAATCATTCTATATTCAAATGAATATGAGATAACAAATTCAATTTGAAGTGAATTTGTTATCACATATTTGTTCGAATATAGAACGATTGTAAACGTTCTAGAGAATTTAAAACCTGACAATGGTCTGTTGATCAGGTTGAAAATACTTGTTTAAAGCAATAAAGTTGGTTCTCAGCAATATAAAAAAAAATCCATTTTTTTCTTTTTATCAATATAAAAATCTAATTCATATAATCCATTATATAAATGTTAGTTTTGAAAAAAATAAAATAATATGCTTCTTTAATGTCTGAATAATAATTAGACATTTTTAGCTTTTACATACAGTTAAACTTCAGGAAATATTGTTCCATAACAGATTGTTTTCAATGACATTTCCTGAAAATGGCTGTATGAAAGCTGAAAATGTTTGAAAATTATAAAATATTGCTGGTTTCTTAAAGGTATCATTGATTGATTAATATATAGAAGTCAAATAAGATTTTGTTGAAATTAATGTAAAATGTAATCCTTTGCTTTATTACAAAACAAATGATGACTTTTATATTGCTTATAATTATTGAAAAATATAATTTTAAAAATTGTTTATTGCTTTGTAATAGTAAAATCATTCATTTAAGTCTAGTGCACTGACCATTAAAATATAGAGCATTATAATGCTACAAAAGCTCCCATCTTATACAAATGCACAGAACTTATAGCATACTTAAAGTGTGGGGCCCACCAGTGGCCAAGTAGTCTTCGTACCTTGAACACTGGGAGTTCAGTTGTGGGTTTGCTCCTTGCTCGGACGGGCTGGCCATGTGGAGTTTACCGGGTTTTCTCCACTCTGTAATGCCTAAATAAGGGCCAGTTTTCCTTAGAAAGACCTCCTGGAAGGCATCCCCCCTAGGCAGATCACCCAAGTATTGCATTGCCACAACTAAACAAACAAACAACAAACATAAAGTGATCAGATTTTCTGAATTTCATTCTGGGATGCTCTAAAAATTGAAGTAGGAAATATAGGGTCACCCCCTATATTTCCTACTTCAATTTTTATTATTATTTGAATGATTTCATTGCTTAATAATATTATTGTTTATATCAATACAGGTAACCCCCGTATAACACGGCACTTCTATAGCACGGATTCACTCTAACACAGTTCGAGAATTGGTACCATTCCCCGTATAACACGGTACTTTTATAGCACAGATTCACTCTGACATGGTTTGAGAAATGGGTAAAACCCTCGTACAACATGAAATGTAATAAATTTTTACATACTTAAGTACTAATAGTTCATGAAAATTATTATTTTCGTGAACTATTAGTACTTCAGTGTGTAAATTTTCTTTTCTCGTCTCCATACACATGGTCCTTCGCGAAAATTGTTTCAATTTTGCCAGATCTCGACGCTTCTGCTTCTGGTGTTGCCAGATGTTTTTCCCTTATTCCATAAGTGCTTAGCACCATATAAGGAAATTTATAAAGATCTTTTAACTAGAAGCAAGCAATCTAAAATTACATACACTTTTTGCAAAAGGTAAAGCATGAATCTGAAAATAATGCAGAAAAATGCTCAGAGGATAACGATAACTTGCCAAAAATAAAACGCTCTCGGTTAATAGTGCTTTTAGTGATGACAAAGAAAACATTGTTTAATTTATATTCATATGTATCACTTAAGAAAATTTTAATAAAGATATTTAACTTAATTATGAAAATATAGTAGCATGTTTTTTAATTTTTGGAATCTAACCCTCCTTTTCGTACTAGTTCTTTGATTCGCATAGCACGGCAATTTTTTGGAATGTAACTACCTTGTTATACAGGGGTTACCTGTACTTATAAATGAAAATGGTATAATCCAGGATATTTTATTAAAAACGGGGACATTTTTCCAAGCTGAGACAAACAGCCAAAAACAGGGACTGTCCCAGTTAATCTAGGATGTCTGGTCACTTTAAGCATGCTGTAAAGTACTGGAGTATGAAGGGCTTTATTTGTTCAATGCTGCACTGGGTTTGTTGTAGTATAGCATCATAGTGGACAGTGTGCACTACCCCTTATCCATGATTGAAGCAAGCATCTTATTAAGTTGCTTATGTTTTTAGAATAATTAATACTTAAAATATATATTAAAATTATTTTCTTTAGTTTTTATATATTTACATTTTGAATTTCATATTTCTTTCTTTCAGTAATACAAAGATGTAATTAAATTCTGAAATGGAACATGTAAAATATAAAACATGTAAAGAATGTGGAAAAATATTTTCAAATAAAGAAATCTATACGAACCACTTGAAAACACATCACATTTGTGATTTTTGTGGTAAAGGTTTCACGTTGAAGTTTACACTATTGAGACACAAATTACAGCACACTAACAATTTTATCTGTGACTTTTGTAGAAAAACTTTTAGTGAAAAAAAGACTTTGGAGCAGCACAAACTAA